GTTTGGAGGTATTTGTTTTGAAATTTCTCGAAGTCTTTTGAGAACGATACACACGAACACTGAAAGGGCTTACATTTTTGTAAAACGATGAAGAAGTAGAAAGCTATAACCTTTCTTCCTCAAAAATTAATCTCTCTTGAAAACATACCCATAAACATTCAATTAATGTTCTCTTCTATTAGTGACCTTTTTTATTTTATCTTATAATTTTTCTGTATGTATGAGTGTTCATTCTATTTTAATGAGGAGGTTATGGTCTGTTTGAAAAGATTTCTGTTCGGGATGTAGTTGTTTTCTGCAGTTTGTTTTATCAAATTCAGTTTCCTAAGATAATTCTCCTGGGTATTTGATGGTTTTTTTTCCGGGTTTCGCTCTGTGCTTTCTGATGGCTAAAAACTAATTCATAATAATTTTTTTTTAAATTTTTTACAGCTATTGGTAATAAATTTATTATAAACAAATATATTGTTTACAAGCAATTCTAGATTTTTGTTTTGCATTAAGCTAATTGAAAAAAATCATGATTTAAAAAAAATGGTTTCTTTCCATCGGGATTACTATCGATAACATTTAATCGACTGATCATGATATCAGTATCATCATTGTCATCATCAAGTGATGGCCTTGTACTGTTAGGACATGTTTCACCTTTACAATTTTTGCATAAAGATGAGCAAGGAAGCCCAGCTATTTTACATCCACATCTATTATTACACTCTTTTATGCAGACTTTTATTAACCAGCTTAAGTAAGTCGTCAGGCGCCAGTTTTTCCGTTGTTTTTATCGGCAGGAATATTGTTTCAGATTTGATCCAACCCCAATCTTCCGAATAATCGAGATACAGTTTCGGGAGTCAGGACTTTTTTTACGCAAATTCATTGATCTTTTCAAATCTTTTTTCAAATTTCCCAAGTTTTGAAAATTTTCCGAGATATTAAGAAAAAACTAAAGGCCCATTTTTTTCACTTAATTGTTTATAACTTTTGTAAATTTTATCGGCGATACGAATCGAATGACACCTTGGTCGTAATTTTTGGACAGGGCTGAAAAATGTTAGTTGGATATAAGGAGGACAATGCCAACATCTTCTCATGCTGTTAGTCCATCTCAATATGGATACGAATCAAATACTAAAATTGAGAACAGCTTTCTTAGTGCTTTCCTGCGGTGAATATTACGTTCAAATATTCGACTGTGTCGATCCATTCAAAATATATTTATAAAAATATGAAACGTAGAAAACAGTTGAGTGGAGGCGAATGAACAAAGCCATATTGTGGAGTCAATTTGTAGTGGAATACAATGGGATTTAGACATGAATCATTAATTCACCGTACACAAATTTCATTCTGTCGGGAGAACGCAGAAGCGAAATATCGGATTGTTGGCTTATTTGTATAATTGGGACGCAGTTCTCTTTCACGCTATTATTCATTCTTTCTATATAGCAAATCGGCTGTCTTCCCAACAAGACAAATATTATTTGGTTTGTCTTTCGGCGCACAACAATTATCTGCAGCATTTTCAAAATTAATCTCGGAAAACTTATTGTGGAACAGAGGCCTAGCTTTCGATTTTCTGGGTGGATTTTCAGTGTTTCCACTCCCCCAAAGCCATACTAGAATGTTAATTTGAGTGAATTCGATTCCAACAACTTTTTTTATACCTACTTAAAAAAAAGTTGATTCAGATTACACATTGTGATAATTAAAGAACATTCTGATAAGATAAAACATAAAAATCATGGAGAAAGTATGATGAGCTAGCTGGATTTTCAGGTTCCGCTTCGTGTTCCTCGTTTTTTATCCTCACAAGGACCATTTTCACAACGTTTCGGCAAAGTTTGTGACACATCTTTTTGAAGATCCTGGCAAATACTTCAAAACCCTAGAATATGATGTCAATATCTTCAACTACTACAAAATGACGGAACTTTCAATAATTGACTGAATACATTGACATTTAACTACATAACATGAGGTAATAAGCTTGAGGTCAGTTCAGAAGATGCTCGAAACGGTTGCCTTGAACTTCTTGACATATGAACAGCCCATCCGATATTTCATGCCGATCATTTTCAGACACAGTAACGTGCAATATCTCTACAAATATTTATTATTTTCTGCCGTATATCTAATATTGGAGCAGGTTCAGGTTTGTACACCTTTTGCTTCGAATAGCCCCATAAAAAAAGGCCAAAGGTGTCAAATCTGACGAGGGGGATGGCTATTCTGTAGGACCTCGACGGCCAATCCAACCACCGGGATAAGTAGAATCCAAATAGTTCAAATTCAATGGGTATACCCGAAAACGTGAGGGTTGATGGTGTCACTCCAATAACGGCAATTTCATCTGTGTGAATTGCCGTTTGTAAAAATGTACATTCGTCACTGAAACAAATATTGTGGAGGTAGATACCTCTCAAACATTCGCGACGGAATGACTAGACTGTTTAGGATTTACTACCATCTCACCAATTGTTTGCACTTGCTGCTCTTCTGGATTGGATGGATGACGACCAGTCGCCATCTTGAAAGTTTTTTTCTCTCAATTTGACTTCAAAATAAAGTAATCTTGCATTGATTTCATCATCCCAAATTTCAATTTTTTGAGTTGACCTTTTCAAAAAATAAAAAAGGGGGACATTACAGAAATGCACTGCTATGCATTGGAACTTTTTTCGACACCTAGATCTATCATTTTTCCATTTGAATAGTATGTTGGATTTATTTTTTGTACAGTATATGCGCTGAAAAAAATGTGATGTTTATTCGATTTCTTCATAAAATCTTCGATATTTCTGAAATTAACAATTGTTGCAGGTTGGTTTCTCGACTTTCACTTCATGAAAGTTAGCTGGAATATATCAAATATTTTCCACGAACAATTTTCAAGATACTCATATCTTCAAAGTTATGTCCTTCAGATGGAAATTATAACGTTTTCTTGAACGGGTGTTATAAGTCGAGCACATCATATAACTCTAGATCGTTCTACAATAATCTGTTCTGGAATGTTGTGACATGTTTTGAAATCCTCTCGAACACTTTCCAATATTCTTGACTGTTCTGAAACTTCATTGAGGAATTTCTAGTCCCTATATCTTCAGAAGCATGCCTTTTAAGTGAAAATGGGAACCATTTTCACGGATGGTGATAGGAAGCTACCACACCACATGACTCCGTTGATCGTTTCACAATAATCGGGGATATTCCGGCATTTTTTTGAACGTTTTTTACTATTACTGAACGATTCATGATATTGAAGAATATTGCGAGATGTTCTGAAATGTTGGTGGAATGCTCTCGAACACTTTCAAATGTTGTGTACTGTTCTGTAGCTTTTGAGAGGGCGAAACTTCCAGTACGTACTTATATCTGTAAACTTCCGGAAATGGAAACGAAAACCCTTCTCGTGGACAAGCTGATGTAATACAGGCAAGCAATTCTAGCAAGCAATCTGGCTTCCGAAAAGGTCATATCTGCACTACTGCCTTACTTAATATTGTAGATGATATAATTACTTCTACACTGCTCCCACACTGCTCCCTCCTACTTATTTAAGTAGGAGGGAGCAGTGTGTAGAAATTTGAATGGTTCAATTTGAATATTTGACACTGAAATCAGGGCTCCATCCTGGGCCCGTTGCTTTTTCCTATATACACTCTCAATTTGATCAAATTTTTTAAATTATGTAAGATTCACGTTTATGCAGATGACACCCAAATCTATTACAGGTTTCCTCCCCCACTAGTGGATAATGCTTGTGAAACTATAAATCAGGAATTAACAGCCTTCATTGATTCAGCTTCTGATCATTGCTTATTGATCAACTCTACTAGATTAAAATTATTGTTGTTTGGTTCTGCATATAATTGTGCTGAAATGCACCATATAAACGTTGAAATCAATGATTTGTTAACTGTAGTAAATGAAGCCAAAAATTTGGGAATCATATTAGATTCAGATCTAGGATTCGAAAAACATATCAATAAGTTGATTTAACGAGTATATTATACCTCATTTGAATTGTTTTATGGGAACTGTTAGAATAAAATTGTGTGAAACATTATTTTATCAAATTTTAATTATGCGGATTCGTTATATGGTCCAAATATGACTACGGTTCACAGTAAAAAAATTCAGAAAGTACAAAATTCTTGTTTAAGATTGATATATGGCATCAAAAAGTTTCAAAGAATATCACATAAATTGCTTGAAATCGGATAGTTGCAAATTCATTATATCATCAAATTATTCCTATATATCTCTATAACGGTGTTATAGGGCAACCCCGGTGTTGGGACAACCATCGTAGATGGTAATATAGCACTCTTAGGGCTGCGTTATGTCGATGGATATAAGCCGAGACCGCATATGCTGGACATGCTGATAGCAAGTGCATTAGGGTCAGCGTTCAAGACGCGAGGCACGTCTTGGATGCCGAGACGTTGCAGCAACTGAAAAATGCAATCATATTCGATTTTCTCACAGACTCAATTGTTACCGACGAAAAAAGCACACGCTGAAGCCAATGAGTTATTCAATTATTTGGTGAGTCTGAAAAATTGCCAGTAGACGACTGGTCCTGTTCTCTTCCAAATGAACTCCATTTCGAAGAACATTTCAAATAATTTTAAATCATTATCATCCATTACAACTGTGTTGTTTTCAAATCAATACAAAGTATCCAAACTATCCAGTTCTGTGAAGAATTATTAATAACAAAATTGTCATATTTCTAGTTTGATACTCAACTTGTTGACATTGAGTTGACATTACAATGATTCATTTGCATTCGGATGATACATGAGTTCCTCATTTTTAATCTATAATTTCTATGCCATTTTTTAAATAATAGAACAGAGATTCATAATGATAATCATAGAATTTTCACAATTAGTTGTAATTAAGAAAGCTTCATCAGTTACTGGTGATCCAATACCTGATGAAGCTACCGTGTATTGAACGAACTGAGTCTTTGAATGAAATTCATCGTAAAAATTCTGATTTTATTATTGTGGATAGTAGTATTAATTTCAATCGAGTACAGGGTGAGAGTATTCGTACTACAGCATGAAGAATAACAAAATATAATCACAATAATATTCACAATATGTTCACGATATTTACGCTAAGTCACAAAGATGAAAATTTGAAGATATTATTCATTTTTCTTGGAAATAGGATTATCGTGAATATGCAACTCAGACAATTCTACAGTTCCCAACGCATCTTCATCTATTGTAGTTATCTCATTGGAATCAAGATACACGTGATCCAGAGAAATTCTGAACATTCCTTTCTTGATTTCCTTCAAACGGTTCTCAGTTAAACTGATCTCTCTTTCGATGTCAGTATCATCGAAGGCGCCGATTTCAATACAATTGATTTCATTTTGGTCCAAACTCAAATAACGAATGTCAGCTCCATCAAACATCCTTTTCTTTATTTTGGCTAGCTTGTTGTGACGTAATGAAAAGGTGGAAATTTCGAATTGCCTGAAGGTACTTGGCTCGATGTCACTAATATTGTTAGAGTCAACATCCAGTGAGTCAAGTTTTGTAGACATACCTTCAAAAAAGGAAGGTTTTAAGTTCACTAGGCGATTATGAGACATGTAGAGATAACCCAGAGTGCTAATATTTGCAAAAGATCCACCTTCAATTGAGCTTATTTGATTCTGCGCAAGGTCAATCCCTGTTAGAGGTAGGTTATTGAAAACACCAATCGTAACTCTTGTCAAGTTATTTTCTGCAAGAGATATCCAACCCAATATGGTTTCTCTGAAAGAATCTGGTTTCAACAGTTCAATTCCATTCATTTAGTATGAAGTTGAGTCAAATTTGGTATATCTCGAAAAATATCACCAACTAATTTCAATTTGTTTGAACTTAGGTTGATATGATGCAAATCAACGATTTTTCGAAAAGCATCTTTCTCAATTTCGGCTATTTCGTTTTTGTATAGAATCAGAGTAAATATTGTTGATTTATGAAACATTGAATTTCCAATACGAGTTAATTTATTGCCGATCAAATCGATACGTAAAGCAACCATACCTTCGAACGCACCATGTTCTATGTGCGAAATTTTGTTATAATTCAACGAAAGGTAAAATGTTCATTACGAATTTTTATAATGCAAACACGTTTAACTAACGAAACTCAAGAGCCTCAAGAGTAAACAGAAATGAAAAATCCGCTACAGAAACTGCTCGATATGACCACCTTCTCTCTCTATACATTTTCTTAGTCTGCGAAGACACCCTCTCTGTACTTGAAATAGCATTCCAGGGTCGTTTCGTATGGCTTCACAATGTAATGTTATTCTATTCAACAATGCATCTCTTGTGTGAATAGGTGTAGCGTAAACAAGGCTTTTTAGATGCCC